GGTGTGGAATCCGTTTATTGTGCTGCTGAGTTCGGTTTTTTCCAGCACTTTGCTGAAACTTTTGTATCAGGGTTCATCAGGGTTACTGGTCTGTAGTTTTCTTTCAGTGTCTCTGTCTGGCTTTGATATCAGCATAATGCTTGGCCACTACCCCTTTTCACATAAAAGTAGTAGCAGATTGTATTTTATAAAACACTTGCTTTATTTATTAACTTCTTTTTATGTTCTGGGTACTATGGGAATTACTTGCAATCTATTAACTCATCCAATCCTTCCCTTGAGCCTGTGAGCCAGGACTATGATCGTCCACGCTTTGCAGGTGAATACCCTAAGATTTAGTGGGATTTTCTTTTCCAGTAGCACATGGGCAGCAAGGGGCATAACTGAGGTTTCAGCACAGGCCTGTGGGAAACGAAGCCTGGTGTCTTAGCCACGGGGTTTGACAGTCATTCAATGCAGGGGGCTCCCATCTCCTGACCTGACTCCTGCCCAAGTTATGTGCAGGTAGCAGGTCACGTTTGGGGATGAGACTCCTTGTAAGCCCATCCTCACATAACCATCAAAATGGGGGTTAGGAGATCCTGATCTCTTCTCCAGAAATCCTGATCTGTTACCCATGTTTGAGTTTTGCCCCAGATGGCATCTCTGCAGAGTGGCACAGGGCTTCCATTGGCAGCTGTCTCTCTGCCCTAAACAAGGCAGCTGACCTGTCCCAGGCCTGTTCACCTACTGCACACAGTTGGCCTATTGCACCAGATGCTCTGGAGACCAGGACTTGACTCAGACACAAGACGACTTTGGTCTCCGTATCACACTGTTGATATCTGGTCCACGTGGATCATCCAGGGCCAAGGCATAGGGTAGCTCTGACCACTCCTTTCTGAGGGATCATCTTGTGGGTCTACAGGTGGAGCAGGAGGAGCAGGTGGGGTAGTGGGGTGATCTGGGGCCTGACTGTTTGGGCTTTGTGATCTGCTCAGATCCACATACTCTGGAGGACTAAAGCAAGAATCTCTGTCACTCTAAGCATCACCTTCTCTCAGGATCTAGTGAAAATTATACAAGGAGTTGAGAGCCACCCAATCGTCCCTGATCTCCATCAGCTTAGCCCTGCTTCTCCCATTCAGTGAAATGACTGCTATGAAGGGTCCATTCATCCCTGCTCTTTCCTCATTTGCTTCCACCTATTCACCCATCCACTCATCCACCCACCTACCCATCCATCCATCCACCTATCCATCTGTCCACCCATCCACTCACCCATCCATCCATCTACCCATCCACCCATCCATCTATCCATTAGTCCATCCATCCTTCCATCCATCCATCCACCCATCCATCCATCTGCCTATCCATCCTTCCACTGGTCCATCCATCCGTCCATCCACCCATCCATCCATCCATCCTTCTATCCCAGCAACCAGTGATATAACCCCAGTTCCTCCTTTCCACTACTCAAGTTCCTGTATAACCCTCTCCTCTACCCACCCATCCGTCTGTCCTAGCCCCTGGCCATCCAGCTCTTATTCACAGAGTCAGGGTCTGAGACCCACAGACAGAGGATGACACCATCTCTATAGGGGCACTTAGAGCCCAGTGGCAGGCAAAATCACATGAACCAAAATATACTATTACCTTTACACACAAATTGTTAGGGGAACCCAGAAAATAATTACATTATGACTGTTGGGGGACTGGGACCGTTTCTCAGAAGAAATCATGAAAAAGTTTTGAAGGATGTGTAGAGTTTGTTAAGTGTGGGGAGGGGTGAAGTTCAGAGTTAAGAAAGGTAAGAGAATACCAGACCCAGTGAAAATCAGTGAGGTTGGGCGGAGCGTGATGGTAGAGTATATGAGGGTCCAGTGGGCTAGGTTTGGGCGGCCTGTGTGCACTGAGGATCTGAAGATGGGCCTGGAAGGCAGCTGGTGATCAGATAATAAAAGGTCCTGTGTATTGACAAAGGGAGGCCAGGGAACGCACTGGAGCAGAAGACACACACTGCTCCACATTTATGGGCTCACTTCGATGGTGGAAAGGGCAGGTGGGAGGGCACAGAGGCTGCAGGCTGGCAGAGCAGCCAGGAGCCTGTCTGTAGCCAATGCCGAGGCTGAGCCAGGAAGGGATGGGCAGGAGCTCTGGCCACCGAGATGCACAGGTGACCTGGGAGAATGCGATGGGAGGGAGAGAATAGCTGGGAAAACAGAGATAAGTTACTGGTGGGGTGTCTGTTTCCCAGGGGTGCTCTGTTGTGAAAACTCAGCAGGTTGCAGACACGTGTGTGTATGTGTGTGTGTGTGTGTGTGTTCGTGAGGGCTGCAAACAGCACATCTGACATTGAAGATTCTCATCTGGGCCTTACCCAGGACACTGAGTGGCTCTCAGAGCTTTTCTTATACATTGAGAGCTTAGCCCTTAGTTCTTAGTTTAAAAGAAAAAAGAGGAGGGAGACCCTCTAACCTGGGATCGAGCCAGGCCCTCTGCGCTCTGCACTGAGCTTGGTCCAGCCTGAGACTTATCTTCACAGCAAACCTGCAAACCTATGCCTACTGTTGATGAAGCTGTATTTCGTGGATTTTAGGCTTTTTTGTTTGTTTGTTTGTTTTTACATTTGAATACCTCTGAAACCATGCTGCCTCATACAAAAACTGATATGGTATATAATTAGATTAATTGGCAGTATTAGACTGCTTAACATGATGGTGTGACTGCAATCCACGAGGCTGACATCCAGGAGACAGGACACTGCCTTGCTCTGTCACTTTCCCTATATGACCCTCTGATCAGTGAGTTATCGGGGCTGGGACCCAATTTCCCAGGTGAAAACTTCCCCTGGCCCTCGGTCTTTCCACAGGGCCTCTGGTCACCCAGCACCCATCTCCCCTCTGGGTCCTAAATCCCCCACCCCCCGACCCCCGGGCGGGACCTGGGATGGAGCAGCCAGCACCCCATCCTCCTCCACGAGGCGGGGCGGAGGGGCTGGAAGGAGATCTCAGGAAAAGGGGAAGAAATGCCCAGGCCCTGGCTTCACTCACACAATGTAGATGTGCTTAAATGGGAATCAGGATTAGCGCTGGGTCTCGCCTCCTGGCAGCCTGGTAATCACCTAATCCCCTCTCGGCTGCGGGGAGGCAGGATTCCACCCGAACCCAGAGAGAGCTGGGAGCGCCAGACCTGAAAAGTAATTTTGTTAGCGACGGGTCTTGCCCACACCTCCTGACATGCAGCCCCCAGCTCCTTCCCAGCGTGGCTGCGGCCTTTAATTTCGTTAATGTGTGACATTCGCCCAGGCTGCGTGGCTGACGGGCATGCTTGACATTAATACGCGTCCCGCGCGGTCCCCGGAGCTCATAAAAGCTGATTATCAGTTCTGAGCCAGTAAATGCAGTTCCCAGCTCAGGAGGGCCTGAGTGCCTCTGAGATGCCCTGGGCAGCAGAGCAGTGGACATCTGCACAAGCCAAGTGACAGACCCCCCCCTTTGTCAGCCACCGCCACGCAGCAGGGAAGTGACCAGGAAAGCCCTTCTGTAGGCAGAGCCCGGGGTTCAAACTTACCACCCAGCCCAGAGGCTCTATGCCCCGTGATTTGCTGTGAATCCATCCAGCATTTGAGGAAGCCACGTGTGGCATCTATCCAAATGAGGTGTGCAGACGTGGGCACCCGGTCGTGGCAGCCAGGTCCCAGTGGCCCGGAATGGACACACCCCACGTAGCACTGTGACAAATGAACGGTCAATAGATTTGGTCCACACCCGCGGCGGGATCGTTGCCGCTACGGAAAAGACTCAGGGACGTGGGAAGGTTTCCACTCCCGGGTGCCCAAGTCTCATCACCACCGACGTGTGGCACGTAGAACGAGTGGGCTCAGATCCGAGGTGGAAAGCCACGCCTCTGCGGGCCAGGCCCACGTAGGCGCATGCGCACACGGGTGTGATTGGGTGGGGAAGTCTGCAAAGTCCCATTCCAAAGGACATTCTGCTACATAGGGTGGGTGGGTAATATGAGAATGACGTGTGTGCGCACATGTGTGTGTGAGGGGGTGGCTGACGCAGCCTGGATGGGCCACTGAGGCACAAATGAAACCGTGCCCCGCCCTCTGGCCCAGCCCTGCTTCCCCACTGTTGACCGTTCTGAGGACCTTCCTGTGGGGGCACGTGGATGTCAGGGACCCCACTGCAGGGGTGGCCCTGCGGCAGGTTGGCTGGCGGTGGCTGGCGCCCGGGCCACGTTACCACCTCCTCCGAGCTCCCATCCTCTTCCCTAAGGCGGAGGGTCTTTCTCGGGTTCTCGACCTTATCATCAAGGCGACGTGAACTTGACCCGGGACTCCTCCTTTGGCCTTGCGCAGTCATCCTCGCTGCCGAAGGACCTGGGCCGGGAGGGCCTGGCTGTGGGCTGCCTGTTGCTTTCTTGGCTGTCTGAGATCCTGCTGGTCCCGGCTGCTGGCCTGAGCCTCAGCGGGCAGCTGTGCGTCCCTGTCACCGTGAACTGGATCTTTCCCCTGCCACCTGGGAACTTCCCCTCAAAGAGACAGAGGACTCCGTCTGGGGCTGAGTTCTTCTTTACCACCCAAGACCTTTGCTCCCATGGCTTCTCCCTCGAACAGGGAGAGCGGCATTCATTAGGCGCCGACGGGTGCTCTGTGGTTTTCACGACTCAGAGAGCCCAGTTTCAGCCTGAGGAACTGGAGTTCCCACACCAGGGTGTTGGTGTTCTAGCTAGAGGCCAAGGGACGCAGGGGACGGGTGATGTCCACTGTCATCCTGGATGCCGTGGGCTCCCCTGGGAGGCCTGGAAATGTACCCCAATCCATGGGCCCTGGGGACATCCCTGGAAGCCGTGGTGGGGCTGGGTGCTGAGGTCTGGCTTCCGAGTCCCCGTCTGCTTTCTGCACCTCAGAGAATGGGAGCACGGGCCCTGGGGAGTGGGAGCCACAGCTGGGCAGAAATGGTGCAGAAGCCACAAGCCTCACAGATCCTGCCTTTCTCTCTCTTCTCCCTCAGGAGTTTATCCTGAAGCCACCAGCAGAAGGAGACCTCGAGGGGATCTTGTCACCTGTGGACCGAAAGGGAAAGAGGCCAGTCGGAAGAGGTAGGATCTAAAAACACCGAGGTCGGCATCTTGGTTATACAAACAAAACCGTCTCATCTCAGAGTGGTGTGGGCCTGTAATCTCAGCTGCTCGGGAGGCTGAGGCAGGAGGACTGCAAGTTGGAGGCCAGCCTGGGCAACTTATAGAGGCCCTGTCTCAAAATAAAAAAAATAAAATAAAAGGGTTGACGATGTAGCTCAGTGGGTTCAATCCCCAGTGACCAAATAAATAAATAAATAACGGGTCCAATCCTCTGTCCTCTTCCTGCTCGGCAAACCCATCATTTCTGAACCCGGGCTGCCTCACTCCTTGTCCCATCCCTAGATGTCAACTTAGGGAAGGGGCAAAGGGCCAAGAGCTGATCCAGGATGTGGATCCAGGAGCTGTGTCCAGGGCAGCTCCCTCTCCTCCCCTCCCCCTCCCACGCCCACCCAGTCCTGGGTCAGAGAAGGAAACCTCCTTAGGATGGTGCCTACTGCCCCGCCCAGGGCCCCCTGATCGGGTTTAAACGCACAAGGACCAGGATGGTCACCAGATTCTGGGACGCGGCTGGGAATGGGAAAGCCCTGCTCTCTCCCGAGGCTCCGGCTGCCCACGGCCCCAGGACTGGCGATGAGCTGCGTGGCCTCACGGGAGGGTCCTGAGTGAGGAACCAGGTGTCCAGCCTCTGGCCGGCCTCGGCCACAGTGTGTCCTAGGAGCCATCTGTCTTCTCCCTGTGAAATGCGGTGGCCGGGATGTGACTGTTTCCCCCTCACGTCCTCCATTTCTGAGGTTCCGGACCAGAGCTGACCAGGAGGAGGTGGCGGGGGTGTGGGAGAGAGGAGGACGCGGAGGGAGGCTGCAGATAGGGGAGGCCGTTGGCAGCTCCAGGAGAGCCGGTTGCCTGCCGTGGAGAGAGCCGGCGGCGCCCGGGCTGTTCCCCTCCTCTCCCTTTGGAGCCACCGCAGTCTAGGCAGGTGGCCGGCAAAGCAGGGCCAGGCTGAGGCTCCAGCGGACGGACGGCGGCCTGTGTGGCTGTCCGTGCCCCACGGCCTCTGTGTCCTGCAGCCCGATGAGTCGGAATCTTAACTGCAGGCCTCCTGGCAGAGGCTGCGGGAAGCAGAGGCCTTATCATGGGCCGAGTCCTGCCTGGCTCTGTCCATCAGAAGGTGCCTGCTGGCCGTTTCCCCTGGGTGGCTTCTCCATGGGGAAAGGATCTCTTTAAACACAGAGAAAGCAGCGGGGGGTGGGGGGACAGGTGGGGGCGGGTGTGTTGCTCTCAGTTTACCTTGAGGGGGGCCAGGGAGCCTCATGCCTTAGCCCACCTCTCTGGTTAACCTGGAAACAGGAAAATGTTCGTGACAGGGAAAACATAAGGTGCTCATGAAGCAGCTTGCTGGGGCTTTGGAGCCAGGGGATGGAGGCAGGTCCCAGCTCTGCCCCCCAGTAGCTGTTTGACTTAGGGCGAGTGGTCTTCTCCAGCCTCGGTCTTCTCATCTGTGAAATAGGCGCATGGCACGTGTCTCGCCAGGCAGTCGTGAGGGCAAGGTCACCACCGTGGGAATCCCTGGGTTTGCTTTAACGTGTGGGGGCAGTGTGCCGCTTCCCAGGGTGACCTCCCTGAAGAGGCCCGGGCTCTGGGGATTGTAAGAGTGGGTATTTGTCACCAACAGGGAGGTTGCCATGGGGATGCATGCCTCTCTCTGCTCAGGGTCTAAAAACGGCTGCAAGAGGGACCTGGCTTGTGTCAACTCTGTTCTGACATCCTGGGGCTCAGGGCCATCTTGGGCCTGAAGAGTCTTCCTGGCCTCTACCCGACAGCTGACACTTGACTCCCATGGTCTCCCCACCCCCCCGGGGAGCAACAACGTGCTCTTCCCAAGTGGGGCCACCTGGGCTTCCCAGAAGTTGTAAGTGACTCCGGGCAACTCCTGTGCCAGGAACAGTGTGTGACCACAGCTCCTCCAGTAGCCCAGACACCTAAAAAGGCACCGTCTGCACCCACAGTGGCGCCTCTTGAGTGCGTAGTCCCCTACCCGTGGTGGCACTCTTCCCAAGTTCTGCACCAAGCATGCCCAGGTCCGGAGCTCAGGCAGAAGGGAAGTGCCCAGGGTCTTATCTCCCCGCAGGCAGCTGCTGGAGCATCCTGAGATCTGAGGACAGGAAGCAGGTGGCCGGAGGGGCCCACTAGGCGCAGCCACTCCAGGCTCCAGTTTACGAGGTCTCTCTGTTGTTCAAGCTTTTGGTCCCACCCAGGAGCCACTGCCGAATCCAAGGCCGTGAATTTTTACCCCTGTGTTTTCTTCTGGGAGTTTTATAGATTAACTCTTCTGTTGAGGCCGTTGGTTCCTTGTGAGTTGTGCATCATCATCATCCTCGTTTGCAGAGCTAGGGACCAAACCCAGGCCTTGTGCCTGCTGACCACGTGGCCGCTCTTCCGTGTGAGCCGCGGGAACTGCCCCGAGCAGGCTTCGTGATCGTTTTTAATAACGATGTAAATCCAGAGCGAGAATCTCGGCTGGAGAAGAGTCACACAGAGCAACTGTGGCGAGGAGGGGAGGACGACGGACGCCACCTCCAGATGCCATGTCCGCATCGGAGGGTGGAAAGTGACCGGCCCAAGGCCACCGGGCTCTGAACACCGGGGAGCAGCCTCGGCTGCCGGTCTTGAGCCCTAGTCGGCTGCGCCTTTGTTAGTTGGCAAATAGAAAATGGAATATTTGAATGGACCCTTACAAATCAAGTGAGAAGCCTCCGTGGCCGGGGCTCTGCTGGGTCCGCTGCTGACATTGACCATGCTCCCGGAGCCGCTGGAGGGAGGGGACAGAACCACTGTCCCTGAGCTCGGGGGTGGGCAATGGTAACTCCTCCGTTAGGGAAGAAGGGACTTGTGGGGTCCAGGAGGGAGATTAGGCTCTGGACTCTGCTGCTTTTGAATTTTTAAAAAATCAGGTTACTTAGTGGGGCCCGGTGGTGCACACCTGTCTTCCCAGCTGCCGGGGAGGCTGAGGCAGGAGGATTGCAAGTTCATAGCCAGCCTCAGAAAATGCGAGGCCCTAAGCAACTCAGTGAGCCCCTGTCTCTAAATAAAATACAAAACAGGGCTGGGATGGGCTCAGTGGTCGAGGGCCCCTGAGTTCAGTCCCTGGTACCCCCCATAAGTCACCTTACCTTCTGGAGCACTTTAGGCTCCCCGTGTCCTCCAGGTCCACACCTGCGCCACAGTGGGTCACGTACCATAACTGATGACCCGAGACATCGCTGTCACAGGAGCGTCGCTGACCGAGGCTCCCTTGGGGTTGTGGTTCTGTGGGTTTTGGCAAACGTACAGTGACGTGTGTGCACCATCACGGTGCCACGCAGGACAGTTCCACTGTCCCAGACATGCTCTGCGCTTCCCCTCCTCCGCCTCCCTGCCCCTTGACTACCTCAGATAAGAGAACCCTCTGTTCTTTATCTTTTCTTTTTCCTTCACAGGGGCTTATTCAGTTAGCCTAACGCCCTCAAGGTCCCCGTGGTGTAGCGTGTTCTGGAATCCCCTCCTTTTTAGGGTTGACTAATACTCCATGTTGTGTGCACACTGCATTCTTCTTGTCGATCCACTAGCGATGGACGCCGGGTGGCTTCCGTATTTCAGCTGTCAGGACCGTGCCTCTGAGCCCGTGCCTTCTTCGCAGTGAGCCGTGCTCCATTTCCTGAATGTGCGACGATCGCTTTCCCTGTCCCCAACAGAAGGATGTCTTTTTGCTTCCCGATTTGAGGACTTAGGACGAGCTGCTGTCAGCCCCTGTGCTCAGGTTGTTTGTGGCTCTAAGTGTTCAACTCGCAGTTGCTGAATTGCAGGGTCAGAGCAGCTCTGGGATTATAAGAAATGGCCACAGTGTCTTGAAGTCCCTGTGCCCTGCTGGACAGCGCCCGGGGTGTCTCCAGGGTGTGCATTTTGGCCTTTCTAATAAATGTGCGGTGACCTGGTTTCCTTGGAGCCTCTTGTTGCCCCCTGGACGTCTCTGGTCCCGTGTGTGTCTGGGACTTTTGCTGCTTCTTAGTGGGGGGCTTGTTGCCCTCTTGTTGGGTTTTACAAGTTCTTTGGTCTTTCCAATGAGAGTCCTTTCCCAGCCAAAGCACCACCTGGGGCTTGTCTTAGGTGCCCTTGACAGTGACTTTCCCGGCTGCCCAATGACTTCTTTCACAGCTTGCGCCTTTGACCTCTTTCCGGACACTGTCCCCCACCCAGAGTCATCTGGACTTTCTTCTGGGTCGGCTTCTAGGAATTCTGCAGGTCTCCTTGTGACCTGTAGGTCTGGGTCATTGGAGTTCATTTCTGGGCAGGTGCAAGGTCTGCGTCCAGGTGACTGCAGCGATGGCCCTGCATGTGGATTTCCAATCGTTCCGGTGTGACTTGTTGGGGACTCTCTCATCCCTGCTGTGTTGACTCTGCTCTTTGTCAAGTGCCAGGTGACTGCATGTGGAGGGTCCACGTGGCACTGTCCGTTCTTGTGCCGATGGCAGAGTTCCGACGGCGTGGCTGTGTGTGCGTCTCCGTGTCAAATGCCCGTCTCTGCGTCCCTCAGCGTTGGGCTGGCCCTTTGGGTCCCTCATGGTGTGAACCTCGGATTCCGTCTGTTGAGAGCCGCCTGATGACTTGGGGAACTCTGGGTCAGTGGTTGGACGGAGCGGGGAGCTCTGACCTCCTGACAGCTGGAACCTTCTGCCTCAGACGCGCACTGACTCCACTCCTTCTTCGCGGTTTCTTCGATCACGGTTTCGTGGTTTTCCCCCACAGGTCCCCTGTGTGTTGTGAGGGCCAGGCCTGGGCGTCCCTGCTCCCTGTGTGGGCAGAGCTGGGTCACTTCCCATCCCCAACCTGCTCGTCAGCGCTGGGGACAGAGCGATGGGCGGGGCAGGGCCACATCTGGTGGATGTTAAGAGTTTTCTAGAGAAACAGAACCGAGAACCAATGGCATGGGGTGTGTGTGTGTGTGTGTGTGTGTGTGTGGTGTGTGTGGTGTGTGAGTGGTG